CCCTTCAACTCAAACGGACACTCACATTTCTTTGACCCTGTTTGCCTTTTTCCCTTTCCTTTGTCGTCTTGACCGGGTACCTTTTTGCCACGATACACTCCCGCACGCTCGCATACAAGTACCACGTAGGGCCTTCTACGTCTATTTTTTCCCGGGTTTGAAGACTTTACTGTCATTATCATTCCTAGTCGCATACCAACTTCGCGCACCCATGTGACTAAATTGTCCCTTGTTGCAAACTCCTCATAGGTGGTAAATTCATGTGAATAATCCAAAGCTAATTCCCTACATGCATTAGCTCCACTACACGCGCTAGGTACAAAACTCTGCAAGAAAAACCGGAAAATTGGTTACACAATTGTAACATTGAAAAATCGACACACCAGTGTCGAAATATGCATCTAATATCGACACCATGATGTCGAAAATTTCAATATAATTCGACAGTTAAAGAGTATCGAATGTTGAAATTTTCGACACTACTGTGTCGATATTAGGCGCATATTTCGACCTGTACACGTCGAAATTTTTGTACGTGAAATGAGGTGCGAAAAACAAGAAAAACGATCACAAAGTACAATATTTCTCACCTCTTTGTGTTATTCGGCCTTAGAATCCTCCATATTTATGTCTTGTGTATCCATAATGTCCTTCTTTTCAAGTTTTAGTAAGATTTGAGGGATTTGTGTGATAAGTGTTTTGGAGAATATGGAAGATTTTTTTGTGAAAAAAAGTGTGTAAAATGAGGGTGAAGAAGAAGATGCTGGTGTTTTGTTGGTGGAGTGAGTTCCCTCTCGTTTTTCCTTTTCTTTTTATTCCTTTTTTTTTTTTTTGTCCTGCAATAGCAATTAGCTTAATTTAAATTAATAATATCTAAATTATTATTAGGGTTATATTTGTAATTTCCAGTCTTGATCTTAGTAAATTTATTTATATTTTGGTCTTGCATGAAGTAAGGTCTTGCACTTAGTAATTTTCGTCTTGCAAATATTCGTTGCCAATAATGCATCGCACACGATTGCATTAGATCATCTCCAACCGGACACCATAACACCATTTTTTCATCTAATTTAGGTGTTTTTAGCCTCCCACTCAAAATTCCTATATCACCATTACACCTAAAATTATAGAGATTTGGTTTTAGTCTCCAACCGTGGTCCACCCCCATATCACCAAATACCCAAATCCTATTTTTCCACCAAATGTTTTGGTGTAGAAATTTTCATCTCCCACTGGTCCACCATTTTCTTATTTTTTCCACCAAATCCTATTTTTCCTACCAAATATAGAGGTGAAAGTAGGATTTGCCGTAATTAACACCATTTTATTAAGTACCATATAAAATGACGATTTTAACTAATTGCACCCGATTACCAACTTATTAGCATATTTATCGTAAATACATTGGTATTAATTATTGAATTAGTTTTTAAAATATAAATACATTTGTTATTATTAACAAAACATTAACTCTAAAAATATAAATATGCTTATTTTTAATTAATTTGTTTATTTTGTTGGTATCAATGTTTATTAGTTCATTTCTTTACTTAACTAATACGATAGTTGAGGAAGAACGCAGTGGATATAGAAACGCTTATATTTTTTATGATACTCAATTTCCCACAAACCTTGACTATGAAAGTTCGTCCTCTATCCCGCCTGTTGAGCTTTTGAGAGATTTTAATAATACGGCATATGTTAGTTTTCTTGGTCGACATCGAAATCTGATAAATCAAGGAAAACACAATGAATTAAGAAGGAGACTGGTAGCACACTTGTGGGATAAACGTGCTCAAATCGATGATGTTGAAGATTATGATGGTGATGATGATGATAATAATGGTGAATGGAATTTTTTTTTATGATTTCAAATTGATTTATGTTGTAATATTTTATTTATGCAATAATTTATGAGATTATTGTTTATGTATGATTTTATTATATTTAAAATAATTTGAGTTCATGTTATTTCATGTTTAGATAATTTTTTAAGATTAATAACATAATTTTTAAATTATTTAGTTGAGAAAATTTATTACTTAGCATTGGTTCTATAATTAATATTTAGGAAATAAAATATTATAAAATTACGATTAACATTAGATTTATAGTTTTGGGGTATATATGGTGAAATGCCATTGGAGACCAAACCAAATTCCATTTCCTATAAGTAGTGAAATGGTGAAATATTATTATTTTAATATTTGGTCTAAATTTTGGTGATACCCATTGGAGATCAAAACCACTATTTTTCCACTAAAAATGGTGGAAGAGTAAAATGGTGTGCTACCGGTGGGAGATGAACCCATTTTTTCACCACCATAAATAGGATTTGGTGAAAAAATGGTGAAACCGGTTGGAGATGCTCTTACCGGTTTACACAAAAAAGGTTACATTTAAAAAAAGGTTGCGGCTATATGCAATACTCATTCCACTTGTGCAAGACCAAATTAAAGAAAGATTCTAAAAGATTCTATCTTATTATGATGGAATGACAAATATGCCCATAAATTAAATTGGTTTTTTTCTCTCATGCAAGACCAAATACAAATAATGAGGAAAAAAAACAAAAAAAAGAAAACATAGAAGCGTGAATTAAAAAAACAAACAGCCCCCCCTAAACCCTACCTACGCCTACCTTTTCCGCCGCTCAAGCTCCGCCGCCGATCGCCGCCGCCGCCAGCCCCGCCACGCACAATCATGGGTGACCTAAATTTGCCCAAAAAAAGAGGAAAAACAAATTAAATTTGAAACTGGAGGAAAAACAAATTAAATTTGAAACTGGTAAAAATCGACACTTAAGCGTCGAATTGAATAGGTAAAAATCGACATTGACATGTCGAATTTATAGTACAAATTCAAATGTCGAATTTTATACCTCAAAATCGACATCTAAATGTCGATTTTTACGTGTAAAATTCGACCTGTACATGTCGAATTCGTTTGTGCGGGATTTTTTTTTGGAAAATCGATATTCTAGCTAAAAAAACCGATAAATGCATAGCTTCTTGGGTTCTTCCATCGTATAATCTTCTATTTTGATGTCTTCTGACTCCATACTTGCCATCTTTGTAAGATTTGTTGAGTTTTGATGATTTTGAATATCTAGGTTTTGTGGGTTTATGGAGGAGGAAGGAGAAAGGTCTTGTGGGTTTTGGAAGATGGAGAAGATGAGAGTTTGTCTTGTGGTTTTGTGGTCTTGTATAGGGTTTTTTGTGTTTTTGAATTTTTGGTCTTGCACATTTGGAATTTTCTATTTTTTTAATAAGTAAGGATATTATAGTATTTATACATTGAAAATTTTAATTTGGTCTTGCACAAGTGGAATTAGTCTTGCATATAGCCGCAGCCTTAAAAAAATTAAGGGATTATTTGTCAAAAGCCCCCATTACATAAGTCTAATTACAATAGGTCCAATTTTTTTAGAAATTTTTGGGATAAATCCATTTCAGCATTAAATAATAAAAAATAATAAATTATCACTATTATACCCCTAACTTAAAAGCAACGTATGTTTTATGATTGGAAATTAAAAAAAAAATTAAAAAAGATTGTAATATTTTTTCCTATTATATCGTAACAACACATGCATCCCAAATCGAAGAAGAACAGATAATAATGAATAACCATACCAGCAAATTAATTAAATTAAGGAATTAGTTTACTAACAAAAACAAAAGGATCTTTTTGCCGCATGATGAACAGCAAAAAACATCGGAAAAAGCTTTAATCTTTAAACTTTAACTAAAACATATGAAAAAGGGGCAGAAGAGGCTTTACCTTCTTGAGTGGTTGACAGTTCGTACGAATTTCGATTGGATCTTTGAGGAAAAACATCACAATTATTGGAGATAACTGTCAAACCAATTTTTTTTTTTTTTTTTTATTATTATATGCATGAGCTTTTGTTTTCTGGAATTTTGGGGAGGTGTCGGTGGCCATGGGAGAAGGATGACGATTTAGGGTTCAGGAATAGGAATTTCGTTTTTTTTTTCTGTTAACTTTTTGTTGTGTTTTTAGTCGATTACTTTAATTTGTTGTGAATTACGTAGATTTCGATAAGTTTGTAATGGATTACATTAAGTTCATGTGCATTACTTTAATTTCATAGTGGTTTTCGAAAATATACAGAGTGGTTTTCATAGTGGTTTCGAAAACATTTCAATAGGAGTTATCTCGAGAGAATCGTAGATGTATGAACATGTTTGGTTATACATAGTGGAATTAATTACATGCACATTGTGATTTCATTAATTATAGAATGATTTTCATTAATTACAGAGTGAATTTTCGTAATGGAATTCGTTAATTATACAGTGGTTTTCGTTAATTGTAAAGTGGTTTTCGTTAATAACAGAGTGATTTTAATTATTTACATAGTGGTTTTTGTTAATTGATAAGTTTTTAGTGAATTTTAGTAATGAAATTTGTTAATTATTTAGTGATTTTCATTAATTACAGAACTACTTTTATTAATTACAGAGTGAGATTACCTTAATATTAATATGGATTATGCTTATTTTATAGTAATTTTTACTTTAATTTTATAGTGGTTTCCGACAAATTTAGTGGTTTTCGATGAGTATGTAGTGGATTTCAATTTTTTTTTTAAAATATGAACTATTTAAAAAAGTGAAATTAAAAAAAAACCAAATTTTGTTTTAAATTGATATAAAAAACTATTTTAAAAAAAATTGATAAAACTTAATTATAAATGCTGATAGGAGATAATTGGGGATGGTGTGGGGAGAAAATAGGGGTTTGCATATCTACAAAAAATATAATGGATTTATAAAAAATAATATAATATGGCAATTTTTAATAATATTAAATAGGGGCATTTTGGATAATTCCAGTCAATTGGACTTATATCAAAAATCAATTAAAAAACATGGATTTATCAAGAAGTCAAAATTCATTGAGGGGTGTTTGTCATATAACCCCAAAAATTAAATGAAAATTGTGGAAGTAAAAATCCCCACTAGGAATGCACCGTACATCCCCTAAACCTTAAGCTTATTTTTCTTGTAGGGTTTAAGCGCGTTGTGAATTTCGGGCAACCGTAGAAGACTACTAGTCTTCCATGGAGACTATCGTTGCATCAATCTGGAGCAGTTTCCGGCGGGTACCTCCGGCTGCGATTCCGGCTATGATGGATTGTATACTCGCTGCCACCGCCGTATCTCCATCTTCACTTTTCTCTGACCTTGCCAATGAATTTCCCAATCTCATTAAGGTCTGTATATACGATTGTTCATACATTCAAATACCCCATTTTTGTTTTCATTTATTAGTTGTAAATTGTTATACGAAACAAACGTGATAGAAGTTAAGCAGAAAGTTAATTTGAGCCCCATTTGCTTTAACTATCTATGAACAACCAAAAGTTAAACCCCCCCACTCTTCCATGAATTGAAGGACTTGGGAGTTAATTATTTCAATTTCATAATTTCAAACCTATTAGGCTTGTGTGGTAGTTCCAAGTTAAAAGGGATTTTGAATTATTTTTTAGCACCAACTTTGAGCCTTTTTTCCCCATTATTATAGTGGATTTAAAAACCTATAATATTTAGAGCATTCAAAATCTTTGTCCTAAAACCCCTATTCAAATCTGAATAGCCTGAACTTGAGCGCAATCTTGGTACATCATCTGGGTAATATTTTAAAACTCTTTTTCGTATATACTTTTCTGTTAGTTATTTAATTTTATTTTTAAATGGTAAAAGTAACGACTTAGACTAATAAGGAAAACATTTCGAGTGACCAGGATTATGTTATTTTGCAGGTTATTGAACAAGAAAGTGAAATGGTGGAGAGTGAGTGGCGTAACTGTGTTTTGACCTATGTTGCCGCCCTTTCTCACTTCCTAAAGAAGTCTGGTGAGTTTATACTGCCATCTAAAACAGTGTCCACTTCTCTTCCAGAATGTTTAATTTATTTTTTTGGTTATCTGTAATTGGAAATGCTGTAATCTTTAACCAAACTTCGGTGATGGTTGAAATATTCTCGTGAGGTTCAATGCTAATAATTGTTAACGAATGGCATTCAAATTGTAGTTCTAAGTTGGACATGGAATTGCAAAAACTGGTTATGATGAAGTGTGTCAAAAGGTTCCTGAGGACTGAGATAAAGAACATTAGTTTGTCAGCTGAGATTAGATAACTAGGGCTGTTGCTTTTGTTAATTGTTTACCAGATTTTCTTTTTCTTTCCTGTAGGTACTCATCACATGCATACGTTTGTTTGGAAAGTGTGGATTCCTTTATTGAAGTTAACACATACATATGACTACGAGCTATTTAATGAGGTAAAGCATTCAGTATATACTCTTCGCATCGAACATGCAAAATTTTGTCCATAGCAGATTCATCATTCATATTATCCTATTCTCGATTTAGGTTACAAGTTTGTTCCTTGATGTTATAATCGGAACAGACAGCTGGGAGGTTCTTGAAGAAACGGTGGTGCCTCTCATGTTAAGATCAATTGGCCAATCAATGGGAGTATTTAAAAGTGCAGAGTTGGCAATATATAACTGGAGCGGCCATACTATTTTTGAGCGTTCCATTGACAAGGATTTGAGCTCAAAATCTTTCGATAATTCTCGCCGCAAATTGACTGAAAAGTATATACCTACAGATTTTTCAGTTTCTAACTCATATGATTTTCCATTATCTATGTCTTGTAATACATTAACTTTGACTCTGGATGCTGCTCTTCGGAATAAACACGAAGGAATTGTTTCTGGGTCAACCTCAACAAATGGGTCCCAAGCAATTTTGTTTGCTGGGAATATGCTATGGGACCTTTGTAATCTGAGTCTTCAAATGCTTTCTCAAAGTTTTGAGCATCGATCTTCGGCGATCAGATTTCTTCTTCCATTTATATTTAAATCATTTGCACATAATCATAGCTTCCAAGTTGCAGCTCCTGGGACGCCTCGTGTATTGACCAGGTATATAAGTTTGTATTAGCAAGACCATAATACCAGCTTTGCAAATCGTCAGTATTGTCAGTCTCGTAGTCCTGTTTATACTGATATTTTTGCTGGTTTTACAGGAAGGAATTTTTTATGAAAATATGGAAATGTTGTAAGTTATTATTTTCTCTGGGGTCATTGGAGAGAAGAGATGCTTATGATATACTTTCTCTATATTTATCCTCTTCATCAACTGATGAACTTAAAGATGTGAGTGGAAGAGAGGAGATAAATGAGTTAAAATCTGACCAAGGATTTTGGGACGAAATAAAGAGAGGCTTGGTAAATAACTTTTTTTGAATTTTTATTGAGTTTTTTAATCAATTATCTTACTGTTTGACACATCCTTTAATAACATTATACACTATTTAACCTTTTAAGCTTGACAAGGAGAACTCAGTGAGGAAGCATTCATTGTATATAGTAAAAACTACTTTAACCTTGAGCAATGAAGGGAAATGCTTCTCTGGTGTTTTGGAGGAAGTAGCAGATGAGAGTGGTTCCGAATCTCGCATGATAGGCAAAAAAGGGAGGTGGGCGGACAAAGAGGCGCAGTCATTGGGCGTTGGGAAAATATGCAATCAAAACGAATTAAATTTTACTGGCTGGCATAGGTGGGAGGCATTTTTTTTTCTGTATGAAATGCTTGAAGAATATGGTACGCATTTGGTTGAAGCAGCTTGGAATCACCAGGTACGCCATCATTAATTATTATTTAATGGAACAAGCTTTTTCCACTGCTTATAGGATGAGCATTGTGCATGTATTCTTTTTGGAAGTGGACTTTGGTTACAAATATATTACATTACAATATCAAGGTTCCCATGCATAGGATGTGGAAAATAACTCAACCTCTTTCTTCTCTTTTATAATTCTATTCGGTAAGGAAAGCCTAATAGATAAAGAAGCTCTTGCAAGCATAAGATTCATACATATGATATGTTGATATTCTTTGTTGCTCCCTTCCATGCATAATTTTCTTGCAACTTAAAATTGAATATGTGATTGCTTAGTGGACTAGAAAAATATCTGTATAGAAGAGATTCTTATTTTATATATCGAAAATATGCCCAGTATCCAGATTGAGTTAATTAATTTCTGTATCAAGCCATGATTCATGTAAATTCTCTAGTTCATATTCAAGACAGTCAGATTTTGTTTTTCTTCACAATATCATCTTCTGTGATGACTATTTCATGCGGATCACTTTTTCGATGTGCATTGCGTTGCTAAAATGACCATGACTTATGTTTCTCCGTCAAGGTGCTAGTTAACAAGTGTTGTATATCTTGGCATTGGGACAATCTCTATGATGTAGCAAGGGGGTGATTGTTGTCTTTTTTAACATTCTTCTCTCTTTCTTTTGCCTTTGACAGATTATGCTTTGGCTTCGGTCTTTGTTTTCATCGGAGAGTTCTGTAAACTCTGTTAACGAAGAGCTCTATCATAATCAGATGGGGACTGCCGATCAAATTTTTCAATGGTTAGCAATCTTATGGGAACGTGGCTTTTGCCATGATAATCCTCAAGGTAATAAAGATATCTTGTCACAATTCATAATTAAGTTGATGTTTTAATATTTGAAATTGCATCACATCACTTGTCTGTATTGGTATATATGGTTATTTGTTTTCCAGAAATATTAAAACTTCAATTGTTTGCTGCAGTACGATGCCTTGTCATGCAGTCGTTTTTGGCTGTTGAGTGGGAGAACTATGGAGGCTGCGTTAAATTAGTGCCAAAAGATTTTATTATTGGTCCACTCATACGAGGGTTAAATGATCCCGTGCACCACAAAGAATTCGGTTGGTTCATTTTATTTTATGAATTCCCAATCTTATTGTAGAATCAGGCCTCTTTGCAGTCTTGCACATTTCATCACGTGTTTTCTGTCGTAGGTGTGAAAGAAGTCTACTCTTCATCGATTATAAAAGCTGCAGCTAGATTTATGTGTCAATATGCCAGTTATATGAAAGAGAGGTATGCTGTAATATGAATGGGTGCTGCTCTACTTTTTCAGACTAATTGTAAATGAAAATATGGCGGTTGAATTCTAATGAAGTTATACGTTGATAGTGCAGCTGAGATAAATATCTCAAGAACAGAAATTTACGCTATTATGAATCAGTAACGACTATACAACAATTGAAATTGTTGCAGATTGCCTATGCATTTATCATTTTGCTAAATAAAGATATCTTTTTTGATTCACTGATATTTTCAATATGACGACTTCAAATATAAAAAATGTTTCGTCTGCCGCGGTAGGATATTGAACCCTATTGCCTCTTAGAAATTCTTGTTTTGTACTCCCGCCCACCCCACATTGAATGTGTTCTCTTATTAAATGCTGAAGATCAAAGAGTGAAGCTATTACGAAAAGTGAAAATACTATCCATCTCATTTGAATACAGGCAGCATGTTTCATTCTTGATCGATTTGTCATCTGTTCCCAAATCTCATTCTTTTGGACGGGCTGGGTTGATTTGCCTTGTGGAGTGCATTGCTTCGGCTGCTTGTGGAAATTCGAGACATAATTATCATGACATTAATCAATTTATTCATGCTACTGATGGCATCTTAGTTGAATCTGCTCCAAACTCTTGTCAAATTGATAGAGCTGACTTACTGGATGTTCTACGGTTTGTTCTCGAGTGTGGTAAACAACATTTTAACCCTAAATACCGTCTTCGAGGTATTAAATCCACTTTTCTCATATTCTTCAAGTTATAAGTGGTGATTATACCAAAAAATATCAATTTGACCTTCTTATTGCCTTTAGTTTGTGAAAAGATTTTAGCAGCTGCTGCTTCCATGATGACTGGAAGCGATGTTCCACTGGAGATTCTTTTTCACTTCATTTCTGGTGTGCCTCGTGAATACACTGATCATGGTGGTATGGCTAAAGTGTTTGCGCTGTGCATTGATCTGCATTTGAAAGATTGAATGATGATTAGCACTGCTCAATCTTACATATGCTTTTAATCTTTTGTTTGACTCTAGGTTCATTGAGATATGCAGTTCAAAAATGGCTTCGTTGTCCTAATATGCAGCTTCTGAAGGCTATTGATGGATTTCCTAGTAACTTTATCAGTAATCAGCATCCACTCGACTCCTCTCTTTTTACATATGATGACGAAGAATTGGAGGCATGGGGATCCGAAGCAAAACGTTGGGCTCGAGTTCTTTTTCTTGTAGCCGAGGGCAGAGAACACTTTGACCCAATCCTGAAGGTATAATATATATCAATACTGCCATACATTGTTCTTTATCTCTCACATGCACCGTTTTATGTACTTTTGTGAAATTAATCCCATCCGCGGTCGAGAGAGAACAAAATGAGAGTAAAAGGTATTTTACCTTGTATTAATACTCTTAATCCGAACTTTACATAATGGGGTACCAAATAATATTAAATTATTTTCACCCAATTCTCAATGTGAATTGGTATACCTGGAAATACACTGCAGAAAAGTTGAGTGATTTTTCTTTTAATATCATCCTGGACTCTATGCATATATTATGGAAATTAAAATTCTGAATTCAAAGAATCGAATGAACTTTAATGGGATATTCGCAACCACTTGGAAAATTTGACTGTAAAATGTAAATGGTGCATTAAATGACAAAATGGAAGCTTGTTATTGATTATTTTGGACATCTTGACATTTTGATGAAGTAGATTTGTTTTATGAGTATCATAATTCCTGTTAATACTAGTCTACATGGAGCTATATATTTACGGACACCCAGTCACCCATCAGTGTTATGCCATTCGTTGGTTAAGGAGTTTTGGATACATTTACGTGTTCGTTTTGTAGCTTCTCTAGATATTTTACAACTGTAAACGCTTTAATGCAGTTCATTCAAGACCAAGGTGATGAGGTCTGCAAACAGAAGAACTATTCAGAGTGGGTGGCCGTGAAATTTTTCATTCTCATTTCCAGTTTGGTTGAGGAACTTCAAGTAATCCAAGAGAGAACTGCTATTTGTCGAGTGACAAAAAAAATGGATAGAGAACTTGTTCGTAGTCTAGTAGACAATCCGAGTTTCACTGAAGAATCAATCATTTTTGACAAGTTTGCTGCAGTGTTATTCTCGTTTTTGGTTCGGACCACCTCTGTATTTTTTCAGCTTTACTGTTTTAGATAACTGTTTCATCCGGTTTCTTTCTATGGAATTGACAGGAAGAACTGGTCTCGTTTGCCAAATTATCATGTTCCTTTTTTTGGTCGGGTGTCATAACAGAGGACATGATGCTGCCAAGTTCTATTAGAGGGAAACTAGGGGGCCCAAGTCAACGACGCCTGTCGTCTTCTCTATGTACTTCTGTTGTGGAAGCTGTAAGAACATTCAAACCGAATCTGCATTCTCAATAATTTGTACTTCTCTTTTTGATTCAATGGAGGGGTTATAGTCGTACTTACATGTACTGATCTTCATAATTCAATAATGTTAACAAATTTGTTAGAATTAATGTGATTGGTGAATACATATTCAGAATCTGACGCAAGACTGTATTTGGGAGTTATTTTCATTTTATTTTGGGGATATATGTTTTGAGAGAATACATAATCAGAAGCATTTCTCTTACTTCATATCTAGAAATTTCACCAGACACCATACGCTGTTCTAACTGACTTCCTCTTGCTTTCGTTATTGAACAATCAGATAACATGCATAAAGACTCTTGCATATGTAATGAGGTGGTGTGAACAGTTTAGAACAGGTGTTCTGACAAATTCTGCTCAAACCTTCCTCTGGAAATTCTGCTGGAAGACTATTACAACTCCAGCACCTAAATCGGAGGTATGCTAGAATCTGTATAATTTCGATGTCAAGAAATAATGAATGATCACGTTGAAAATAATTTCCCATATAAAACTAAGTTTGCACTGAGATGTTTGTTGTCTGGGTTCACTGTCTAAAACAGGTTGAAGCAGAAATATGCTTAGCTTCATATGAAGCATGTGCATACACTTTGAAAGATTTGGGGTTTGTGTTCTCTCCTCTATCATTGGATCTTGTCACAAGCACTAACAAATCATTTCCATCAGAAACAGATGGCAAATCAATGTTGGATGTATTTGTTAGTGCATTTGTATATAATATTGATAATGTTATTGATGGGGGGCAATTGGCACGGACGAGAAGGGCAGTTCTAATGAATTCGAAGGTTGTTTTTCTTCTTCTTCCTTCTTTATTATTTGCTCTCCTGCATTTTGTATTAATCTTTGTCCTATAGAAACCTTGTTACTTGTCTGTGTTTGTTTATGAAATGATTCTAGTGACAGGTAAACATAATGATATTATTAGATATGATAATGATGATGTACGATTTCTTGCATTTGACTATTTCTGAAACATCTGGGACAGCGTATAGTTTTAAGATTTAGGAGCCCAAAGTTCCAAGCAGGAGCACCTTCAAGAGGATATTACTTAAAACTTCCTGTATTATGACAAAACGCCTCTACCATCACAAATTAGATGTTTGACATTGAAGCGATAATTAAAGTTAGTTATTTATTTTTTAGATTTTTAAATGGTTTTTATTTTTTCATGTTTACCACTGTATCTGACTTGAGTTACATTTTAGTTTATGTCAACAAATTTTAATTGACATTATGCAGAAGTTATATTTTATAAGAATCCTGCATTTATACATTTTCATTAAAATCCTTTTGTGCACCAAGAAAATACGTGAGGAACATTTTAAATTAACATTTTCTGTTCTTTTTGCTGATATTTGTGAAATGACTTACAAACCTACACTCTGCGTTAGTTAGTCCAAGTAGAAAGCTGATCTTGTTAGATGCAAACAAGAGTGCTGTAGTTGTGGGTGTTTTCATTCTTGATTACAGAGAAGGTGAGAAAGTGACACTTGTTGCAATGTAGTGCTAATAGTTGACCATTTCATGGATACGTGGGAAGTTGAGTCTTCTTTGTAAGTTAATTAAATATTCTATGTCAACTTTACTTTTATTAGTTATTTTTTCTTTGGAAATACAAGATCCCAGAAGAAGTTTTTTTGCCCTTGAACGGTAGACTAAATAGGGTCCTTGCTAGATTCTGACTCATATTTAGTGCAATCGGCTTAAAAAAGCACATTGCTATCTGGTAAATAGATCTCATTGTTGTTAATTCCTTTAGCTGTCCTTTCAATAAATACTGAAAAAAAAACAACAGTCTTGGTGTAAGGTAGTGAACAAGACTCTTTAAGGATAGTTGTCCAACTCTAGTGTTTCATTCTATTAGTTTCTGAACCACTTTAACGAAGACAAGATGTCTAAGGTTCTTTTTTGTTCCCAGAGTAGAGTTTCATTCAGAGGGAGCTAAAGCGCCTGTACCCATCTTTGAGTTCTGTAGCTGGCCCAGATTATCTGGAGACGCCTACCCTGATATGAGAAGATCTATTTGGTTTTTGTTTGTTTATTTGTTCTAAGCGCATCCCTTCGATTTGTTATTTTTTTTTACATCTCATCGAGACTTTTAGTGGGAACTGGAACTTGGTCTTTTTGAGTATGAACATCTTTTACTTTGAGCTTGTCTATGCATTTAGCCGGGCAAAACCAAGACTAATCGCATTCTTTTTTGATAAATATTCGTGTTTTAATTTTTCTCAAATATTGTTATATTTATTCTATCCCCTTATTTTACTTTCATTTAATCCTGTTCGGTGAACTTATGCAGTTATTGACAATTGATGATGTGCTAGTAAAATCATAATACTAAGTAATATTATTTCTTGTCTTTCAGTGGAGCTGTCTAGAATCCCTCTTGTCATTACCAAATTATGCACTTCGCAATGGAGTTCAGCGGAATACGTGTAAATCTTTCTTCTCAGACACAACTGTAACACGAATATTTGGTGATCTTGTTGGAAGGTAAGATAATAAATGATTATTCGTGTCTACCACTCTAATAGAATAGTTAGGAGCAATTGCTTTTATGCACTTAGAGTTGCATATGATGCGTCGTCTTCTGTTGGTGTCATGTTTCGCTTATGGATATGTCTCTTATCCACTTGTAATGCTTGTTGAATATGAGAGTTGCAACTTCCACATAATTGAATGGCGTAAATTTGGACATGTTTCAATCATGGGATAAGCTCATCTATTGCATTTTTGGACAAGGGGCATTCTTTTTTTGACATTTTGCGGTGTTTTGGGGCTTGAAAAACAACATTTAAAAATGGCAAATGAATGCCTGAGGTGGGTGTCTTTACACTTAATTTGTTTGCGTTTGATATTTAAGTGCTAATATATATTTATTTTGTGAGTTTTCATATTCTTGAAAAATCATGATATCCTCGACTTATAAGCAAACTTGGTTGGCTCAAGTTATTTTCGTGGTTCGGTATCTATGTTTAATGTTGATTTTATTTTTGTGAATGCTTATTCATATCTATGTAGTATGCCTGTGTGATGTGTGACACACACACACACACACAAATTTACTGGACCGTACTTTTTATTTTGTTTGTGTCCTAAATAATTTTTTGTTCCTTTTACATATACTTACTTGTTCGTGTGTAGTATTCAATTTTTTTCTCAATATATTGGGTATATGCCTTTTGGTTTATATTGTATATACGCTCTGCAGCGGGCTTCCAATATTGTTGGAAAATTCGGATACCTAAGCAATAAATGTGGTTGGTGCAAAACCTTATTCTATATATATTTGTAGATTGTATGTTGGCACGGTATATAATGTCGACCAATGTTCTCACCATGTTTGTGTCCTAAAGATGTGCGCATGAGTGTTTATATGCTGAACATATTGGAATGTCGTAAAATGAAGAACAGTCTTTTGACAGTCCACTTTATTCAAGAAATTCGGGGTTCCATGCTCGCTCCTTAGGTTATACGGATCCCTATCTGAGGACTGTATTTTAGTTTGTTGCAGATATTAGGACTGTAGATTAAAATTTAAATTTCCCTTTTCTCAGTTTTTTCTGATAAATGTTTCATATAATGTTTTTGATTCTTCTACAACTTTCCAAATAGGTAATACATGTCAACATCTTTTTGTCCTTCTCATTTTTCATGCCTATATTTTTTCCCTACTTATAAGGTGAATATAACTAACAGAAATTGTTATATGTAACAAATGAACGGTCATAAATTCTACACCACCTCTATTCATAATAGATAAAATGTTCACCAAGATTTTCCATTTTTCAGTGAGCTTCATATTGATTCTCGATAGACTTCATATTCTGCAGCCTTGAAAATGCCGGGGAAGTTTCAATCTTGCCCATGCTTAGATCAGTCAGATTAATCATGGAATTGTTTCATTCAAAAGAAATGGATCTATCGATTTCCTCCTCTAGTGGAGTAACTGTTGAGGTACGTTTCCATGCTAGATTAATTTCATATGCTGTGTATTCTATACTTCTGACTTGAGGAGATTAACAACTATCCCATTGATTTTTCGACTTCTTATAAGTGCTTTCCACAGAGTGTACAATTTTATGTTGAAATCTTTGTTATGCTTTAAATTAGACTCCACAAGCAATATTGCTTTTTCACCTTTTCCCATTATTTTTATTCTCAAAAAAAAAAAAAAAAAAAAAAAAAAAAAATAATAAAGAAAGGAAGAAAAGCTGGTCCCGTATTTGTTATATGAAATCGAAATTTACCATATTACTTTGAGGGAATTGTAAAAAATGTTCCTGGTTCTCGTTTTATTAATATTAACACAAATTCCTGTATGAAGCATTTTTTTGGGCACAATCTCGTAAACAAGTTTTTAGGGAGTATTTAGCTAAATATTTTTTTGAACAATCGGGTTTTTTTTTACTAATATTAATAATAAGGGAAGTGTGGTGCATACATAGACATACATAGCATGAAATTCATTGAGTTTAATTAGGCCATTTTGGATACATTGAGTGTTTTAAGTAGAAAACTGAACTTTTAAAAACTTCTCTGTTGCAGCAAACCAGTTTCAAATATGCTACTAAGGATATTAGATTCTATGTAATCAATTTCCCCAAGTTCAAAGAACCCTAATTCCCAATTTCCTAATTCAAATTCCAAATCATCAATTAATCACAGGAATAGATCAATTATAGTCAAGTCAGCACACAAGGATACAGAGTGCTCAAAATGTAGCAACATTAACACATAATTACACAATTAAGTCACAGATTCAGAAGAAATCACAGACTATAAGCCAAAACACAAAATCCTCAAAATCCATTTTGAACTGTGCATGTTACATGCAAAGCTTGAAACACATAATCCATACTATATAACGTGCAGTTGAGGAACATCCTCGAAAAATTAATCATAGATCAATACATAATTGAGGTACAACCTTCAGTTGGATATTCCGAAGCCTAAATTTAACCTTTCTGAAAATTTCCTATAGGCTATAACCATGCATCTGTATTCAAGGTTGGTGAAAACCAAGTTGTTCACTTTTGTAATTGGAGAAATCATGTTCGATACCAAAATAAGTATAATGAATTACAAAAAAGAGATCAAGAGCTTCAGTTATTCCTGTGGGCCATATATTCTCCTCATATTTTACTAAAACTGTTTTCTTTGTATAACTAGCAACACATGCTTTTCTCTTCTTTAGATGATGTGGCTTTTGGTTCGTTCTTCATGGATATTGCATATCAATTGCAACAAAAGGAGGGTAGCTCCTATTGCTGCACTTTTATCCTCTCTGTTGCATTATTCAGTTTTTGGGCAAGGACACATGCATGAATCTAACAATGTTCCTGGGCCTTTAAAGTGGGTATGTGTTATCCTCACCCTCTCCCTTAAAAACTGTCCATATTCTTTGTTTGTCGTTATCATATATACTATCATCAATATTTTGCAGTTTGTTGAGAAAATCCTAGAGGAAGGCACAAAAAGCCCGCGTACTATTCGTCTTGCCGCACTACATTTATGTGGGCTGTGGCTGGCTTATCCAAATACGTTAAAATACTATATTAAAGAGCTGAAGCTGTTAACATTTTATGGTTCTGGTATGCTCTGAGATTGCCAAGTGTTCTAAATATTGCAAAAAAAATATGTTAATAGACCATATCATGATTTACATTGTTGAGTTAACAGCTTTTTGGGACAGCTCTTTCCCTCCTGGCCAGGATCGATACCTTTTTCAAATGTTTTTTATTGTTATGTTTGTGTAGTTGCTTTTGACGAGGATTTCGAAGCTGAACTAGCTGAAAATTGTGATGCAAGGACTGAAATTTCAGTTTTATCAAGAAGCTTAGATCCTGAGTTAGTTGATGTAAGTTATTGACCAAAATCTATCAGTGGTATTCATGTTTGCTTTAATGCTCGTCTATATTCAATAATGAATCTCCTAAAAGGAAAGGATAATACTCTGTTACTCAAGATGATCATGTTCAATCATTCTATATACACCAAAAGCATTTCAAAGTAAATCAATGTCAGTCTGATTTGTGGTGATGTATAGCTCTCAATAATGGTATTTGTAATCAATCTACATAATGCAAATCATAATTCAAGGATTGGAGCATCAGTTCCCCCCTTCCATTGAAGCTAAAGACAGACAATCCACCATTACTTATGTCGATTGCATACTGCTAACAAGTATAAACACCTGGATGGGAAACTAACTGTGATGGTTTGAGTACATTCAAGATCCTAGATTGCCTTTATCTCAAGATCTCAAAATCTATACTTAATTTAAACCTAGTGGAGCAAATTGATCGAAGTCACCATGAAATCAGTTAACTAGGAGAATTTGCAAGTTTCAAGGTTTAACTCTGAAGATGGTACTTGACAGAAAATTGTGCTACAAAGTGAGACATTAAGTTGTAGAGAAGAATATAATTAGGTTTATTCAGGTTGATTTGGCTTATGGTTTGATTCTTTCTTCAAAATATATATTAGTTTGTTTGTTGTGTTTCTTTTCTTATATCAATTCGAAGGGAAACTCTCTCTGGTATTTAGTTGGGAGAGATGTTTAACTTAGTAATATTTTATATTTGTTTGTTATTTTGGACAAATGTTTATCAGGTGTTCATCAATACAGAGTTGTATGCCCGTGTATCTGTTGCTGTTTTGTTTTCCAAACTTGCGGACATGGCTGGCTTAGACGAATCTACCAATAGAAAAGAGGAGAGCATTTCTATTATTGCATCTGGAAAGATGTTTTTGCTGGAGCTTCTCGATTGTGTGGTATTCCTTTTCCTTTTCTTCTATTTATCAAGCAATGCTCATGTATGATGTGTATATACTATGAACATCCACTTATTCTGAAACTATGTGGATTTGAACTTGAAGCCTGACAGTGACCGAGAGTATGTCTGGCCGTTTATATGTATGTTATACTTATCTACGTGTATATACAGTAGAGGATTAGGCTTGACATAGAAGATAAAACTTTAAGAAGATTAAAATTTGTATTATTCACTGCTGTTAGTAATAGGCATATAGGAAGGCTTTGATAGCACTTACATGGAAAGGGAAACAAAAAATACAATCTGATTTCTGGGAAAGCAATCAGGCTATACAGTCAGCTTATATTTACACCATATATTCTTTACTTAAATCGCAATATCTTGCCATGTGAATCAAAATATTTGATCTAAATTTCATTTGTTAAAAGGTTTATTAGCTTGGATATTCATCTCTATCATGGATACTCATCTACATCATTTCCATAACGACTTAAATCAATATGTTAGAATGAATGATATGTTAAGGAGATTGTATGATCTGCGCGCTCTGTCGCATTAACTGTAAAATGGGCTTAACGAATGGATTTGATCAACCCCTGGTGGATCGTTGAAATCAGCAAAGAAAATTACTCAATTTGAAAACTCTCCATTCTATACAAGGTACCACCATTCCGGTCGTCGTGATTGAATCTCGAGAAATCCCTATGCAATTTTCCATCTTGTACTGTACTTTTATACTGCGTAACTTTCAATTTTGTTTTATGCTAGAACATGATTGTCTTTACTCTTTACCCTCTCTGAACCTGGGAAAGCAAAAAGTTAATCAACTGCTGACTGACTTTTTTGCAGGTAAATGACAAAGATCTGTCTAAGGAGTTGTATAAAAAGTATAGTGCGGTGAGTTTGATATTGCAATAAAGATCTGTACTTTCTCTGTTTTGTTATCTGAATGGCCATTGCTCCTTAGACTTTCTTGTCCCTTCAAATCTTTCCTTTTCCTTAAAAATATCCATCACAAAGTATTGGTCATTCCGTCTTGTATCCATATACAGGGGAATAGATATGGCTAGGATACAAATATATTGATTACCTTGAATTGCATTGACTGAACTGACAATAGTTTTTCTTTTTCAATGTCCAATCATTCTTGACCCTCTAAAAGTGATTGCTCGACAGTGATTAAAGTTCCTGACATTATTTTATGATTATGTTTTCCAATTTGTTTTTCTTTTTTGCAGATTCATAGGCGGAAAGTTCGTGCATGGCAGATGATATGTTCATTGTCACGATTTGTTGACTTAAGTATTGTTGAACAAGTAACATCTTGCTTGCACACATCAATTTTTGTGAGTCATTTCTACCAAAGAACTTCTGATTCACCTGAGGCTTTCCATATGCTTGATTATCTGACCTATTTAACTTCAGTTTTGCATGGATGTTCTAGATGCTCTTTGCATGAGAAGGAATGTTGTATGTCTGCATTGACGGATGATATTATTGCAACTGTCCATAGGTCAAAGTTATACCATATATTATAATAATATATAATGTGATTTGATGTTGAAAATGTGCGACAGCCTTTTTAGAGTCTCTTATGCTTGATATTATGGAGTATTCAACATGCACCATTTTGTATTTTCTTATTTTCTACAGTTTCTAATTTCTGTAATATTGATATAATGATACTTATGTTCATGTGGTTGCAGAGGAACAATTTGCCTTCAGTTCGACAATACTTGGAAACTTTTGCTATCTACATATATTTGAAATTCCCTTCACTGGTAAGAAACAACTTTTAGCTTTTCTTCACTTTCACTGTTTATATATACATGGAATGTTTCCTATCTATATTCTTATGCATTCGTTAAATTTTCTGTAAATTATATATATCCTCGTCACTTCTTATACAATCAAAGTTATTTGGTGAAGAGTGGGATAGTAAGATGTGGATGTGGATGTGGATTTTGACTGTAGTTTATACTATGATTCATTGTGACAGCTAAGCTAGGAAAGTTTGGTAATAGAGAACATGATACTGTTTGGCGAATCTGGTAACGGTGCAATAATATATTTTTATTGTTTGTGTTGGAAATGGTGTTTGAAATGGCTGCCACATTTCTGGAACGGTTTTATTTACCTGGAAATTTACAAATAGATGTCTCAGGTTTTTAGAAAATTATGTTCATTTAGTTATACATGATGGTCTCATGGCTCGATTATAGGACCATGAAGTTAGTAATGTTAGTTTCTTATTGTATTTAATTGCCTTTGCTAAATTTGATAAAGATAGATCTGCAGTTTGTTTTCAAGCCTTCCCTTTCTTTTCACTTTTCTATTTCCAGTAATTATTTACTTTTGTGTTTCAATTAGTTGGCAATAGAAGTGTGTTCTCTACATTCAATAATATTGCTCCTGGACATGCCTATTTTTGTTAACAGTAGCTTTCGTTCCTCACTGTAGAGACATTTTAAATTCCTACTTGTAATCTACTCTCATGGGATTTTGCATTGAAATATAATAGAGATATAACAGACTTGCGCATAAGTATAGTATAGACATGCTGGCCAGTTATGTTTTGGAGCTGGCTAGTGAGTTATGACGACAGAAAAGTTTAGTGTCATAAAAAGAACGATGAATGAGAACAAAGTGGCCTGATTAGAATGAAGCCCTATGGGCATTATTACACTTTCAGATTGAGGTGTATTGCAACGCCAGTTGAGTGGCTTCAAAAGGTCCTCTGAATGTGAATTTCTTCCGTAGCTATCTACTACTTCTATAAGCTTACTGATTTTTTTTTGTTTTGCAACCTGACTTTGACAATATTAGAATGCTCATTTTAGAATAACACATTCTTTATTACAATCCTTGTTCTAATTTAGTTAATTTCCTTATAGAATCTACGTAAAAGAACTTCTATATGCAATTACCAAACAACCCGACTTTGTTTCATTACATATTTAATAAAAACTCTGAGATACTTGTGATTGTAATGGTCTAAATATGTGTAGGTAATATGCTGAGGCCTTTGCTTTGTTTCCACTTTACAGGTTGACCAACAATTGGTTCCTGTGCTAAGGAATTATGAAATGCGTCCTCAGGTGAGAAGAATTATATGTTATAAGTTTAGTTCTCTCATTTTATGTTTTCTTTGTTATCCTCTTTATGTAAATATACCACAAATGGACCAAATATATTAAATATTGGATATTTAATATTTTGAATTTTAAAAGTTAGATGTTTAGTCTAAACCTAGTCACATTCTTTTCACTGGGTGGATCACCTGCTCCCAGGTCTCCAATCGACAAACTTTTCTGTAGGACAGTCAAGACCTCTCTCAAACTCCCATCTCCAGTGATGTTTGATTATACTTAATTATTATTGCCTCCATTGGTGTATTGATTGCTATGCATTATCTCAATGGCTTAAATTGCAGATTTCCTTGTAGAATCATACTTTAGCAAGAAAGTAATTTGGTAAGGCAAGATTTATATAAATAGCATCTCTGGAAAGTAACAAGACACGCAGTGGACATATTTGGTATAAAAAAATAATCCTATAGTAGCACCACCAAAATATATCGTTTCAGCTTGTTCTCCTGTAGAAATTGAGAGGAGACTAGAGAAATGAGAGATTAATGGCACAAAAGTTCAAATTTTGTATCATGATGTTTTACCTTGTATGCTCACTTTTTATAGATAAAATGAGGATGACTATTTGCACTGTTCATTTTGGTTTAAAGAATTTTATAACCAAATCGTTTTATTTAAGTTTGGAGAAACAACTAATCGAGAGCTTTTGTTCTGGTACTGTATGTTTCACTGAATGCCTGTATGACAGATTGCTGGGGCATGATCTAACTTCAGAAACTGCACCCTAATTGTGAAAACAACCATCGATCTGGAAAGCAATGATTTACATTAATTTAAATTTCCCCAACTCTCACTAAACTATGATAATGTTTTGGGTGTTCGTATGGTGTCGACAACGTATTTGAATATACAAACATTATTGAGTGTGGCCATTTATTTTTCTATAATAGAACTGTTATTTACATATATTTCATGGATTCAGGCTCTGTCATCATATGTATTCATAGCAGCTAATGTCATTCTCCATGCAAAGAATGAGACTCAATTTGGACACTTAGATGAACTACTTCCTCCTATAGTTCCATTGATGACCTCTCATCATCACACTTTACGTGGATTTACACAGGTGAGCATTTACCAATGGTTGGATAATGTTTAGATACTCCGTTGATGCATGTAGTTGTTTAATATAATTATGGTATTTATGGCTTCCCATATTTTGAAATGCAGATATTGGTGTATCAAGTTCTTCAGAAGTTGCTTGATTCAAATTCCAGTGCTGCTAGCATGTCTTTGGAGAGGAGGTGCTTTATGGATTTGAGATACTATTTGGCACATAACTCGGATTGTGCACGGTAAGTTTAGCTACAATGCGATATTCAAAAAGTTTCTTTGGATGAATTTGTTTACTGCGGAGTGGCTATTTGCTACTATGCAGCAGTCAATTTTTTTTTTCTACTTCCATGTGTTTTGTGACAAGTTGTGAGTTCTGAATTTTCTGAATTTGGTTATCCGATCATGAGTTATTTGAAAGGGGTCTAAGTTATTCTATGTATATCATTGTAACAAGTAGGCTAATCCTTAAAAAATCACAAAAAGATGAAAGTATTATAGAAGTTTGCTAAAAGCCTACAAATAACAAGGAACAATATATGCAAGGGATCATTAAAATGGAAATCTCATAAAGTAGCAAAGATGTTGATATATACTATAAATCCCGTCCTACATCTATTATGTGTGGGAACATCTCTCACGGGCTTCCTACTATTACTAGAAACCAAGAACTTTCATGGATTTTTGGGTGGGTCTGTGGTGGACCTGATGCTCAATGGGTCGCTGGATTGGCAAAACATACCAAGTGAAAAGCCGATGATGTTATATTGTGATTGTCGTATTGTATACTCAGGTTGTCAGCCGTCAGTGGACCAATGAAACTATTGGACTGGGTTGAGAGACATTTTCAAATGTTGATGTCTTCTAATTGTTGAGGTTATCTTATATTGCAATGAATTATTGATATTTTGGGGGAATACAAATAGCTTTACTGGAGAAAAGAAATTATGCTTGGTTGAACCAATCAGAAACGCTCAACTATTAGCAATTTATTGGCAATGATTCGCACTTAATAATTAGTGAATATGATTTCTCAATTTAAAAAGAGCTAGTATACGGTTTATTAGTAGAACATGTGGAGTTCGGACTTATTATGATTAGGTGTTCTTTCTAGATTACAAACTTGCAGGTTTATAATGGTTCGATGATTGTTTGTTATTGTGTAGTCTTTCATCAATTGGTGATGCAGGTTAAGATCTTCCATGGAAAGCTATCTTGATGCCTTTGATCCAGTGAAGTCTGTATCACCTGCTGGAATTTTTACTAACAGGGTCGAGGTCAGTTGTGATTAACAAACTTTACTACTTGGTCCGGAGTTTATATGTGAAAGCTATTATTTTTTAATAATTATGATATTTAGTCAGAGACCCTTTATATAAGCCTTTTGACCTTAATGTCTGATGATTTTAGCCTATGCTTTGGTTCCATTATATAAACTTTCCATAATGAAAATGTTATTTGTGAAGCAAACTATGTTTGTAAAACCTTTTCTCAATAGAGAATATTATGACATATTTCTTGTATTGTTGAACTAAACGAAATCTGCCCCTGATGTTGGTTCTTTTTACAAAAAAATCCTGTTAAGTTAGTTAATAGCAAATACTACTTTGACATGTTTCTAGGCCAATTGCAAACTATCATAAAAAAAAAAAACAAACTTCAGAGGTATTTGTAATAACTGGAAAGGTGTTTGTACTTTCGATAGTTGACTATATGGTTTTGTCATTTGGCAAACTTCAATGGTAGTTTCTGTAATTTGCCTAGTAGATAATATCATGTTAATCAAGGAAGCTTTAACTACCTGAAAGGGGGGAGTGGGCGGACCAATTTTCATATTTTCGTTATTTGATTGTTTTTTTCATTTTGATTATAAGTTTATAACTATTATAAGTTCTGATTTGAAGTACTTCTCTATGTGGGGCACGGCATGAACGTAGTTTTGGCGTAAGAATTATCATTGTAGAACATGTCAATTTAATTAAAAAGATAGATGTCTGCGATATTTATCTGCGAAATTAGGATGCTCTAGACATGGAAGATTTTGCTAGTAAATAAGATTTTGTTGTATCATCTATGCATGAGGCCATATCCACACAGAAAATTCCTCTTACCCACAATTTTCTTTCTGAAGGCAAGAGCTGATTAATTACTGGGTACTTCTTTTCCTATTTGTTCTGTCAGTTTGTTCATTGCAACCATTATAACTTCATGTCCGTTTTTATGCTTTCCTATTTGAGTTGTTCCCTTTTGGAGTTAGAAGATGATTTTTTATATTCATGCAAAAAGTTTACTGATCTACGAACTAATTCTGTTTATTGTTTCTAATTTCTAAACTGAAACTTTGTTTGAAATGTAGGAGGTTGAATTTGAATGTGTTCCAACTACACTTATGGATCGAGTCATTAATTTTCTCAATGTAAGTTGCTAGCTATTTTGTTTTACCCTTTTTCATGTAGGGTTTGTTCTTATACGAAACTCTTACAGGATACTAGGGAAGATCTTAGATCATCAATGGCTAAAGATGCAGCTGCGATCAAGAATGAGAGCATTCGCATTGATGGAAGTCCTAAGAGTAGTAAAATATTGAACTCCAACGGAGAGCAATCCGTAGGTCAGCTGGACAAAGAACTATTATATGACTTTCAAAGAAAAATTACTTTCTCTAAGAATGAGCGGCAAGATTCAGCCTCCACCGTTCTCTTGGACAAAAGAACACCGTATGAATCGCTTTTAGGTATGTTAACTCTCATTTTCAGTATATCCTGGTCTTGCATGTTCAGAATTCTAAAGAGCTACTTCTCAGTGTATGAATAATAACAAGTCTCATAAAAATATTTTTTCATTACATGACTATTAAAAGGTCAAAAAATAAAATAACATTATTCTGGTTTAGTTTTTATAATATGGAGATTTCTTCTGTTCTTGATTAGATATTTCAGAGTTATATCCCATTGAGAAGTGTAACTAGATCAATTTCCTCTTCATTATTACTTGTGAGTTGTGATGTTTATGTTTAATTATCATTAATAATGCAAAAGAAGAACATGATGAAATCTAGAATGAGAGGTTCTAAAACTAGGATGCATTTTGATTGGTTCAATATCACATTATAATTTGTGCCTCCGGCAAATTATTTTTGCAAAGATCGAGGGGAATCAAGGTAAAATTGAGGATAATTTTTTTCTTATTTATTGATTAGTCTATTTAAGCAAGAGGGATGAGGAATCAGGAATGAGAAGAAGAGATAGTTAGCGAAACATAATGTAGAAATATGGAGCTGGCTTCTAAGTAGATTTCCAGAATTTGGTATAGAGAAACATGCAATAGAAGATAATTTAATAATATGTTTGTTCCAAAATGAAATTTTGCAGTCCAATTTAAAGAAATCCATAGTAAAACTTTCTTGCCCCTAATTACAGATATGTCAAATGAAGATCAGCTTATTGATAAGTTGCTACATTCGGGAGGAATGATTGCAGACAAGTTAAAAGGATCCAGGCAACAAATTATCCTTGTAGCTTCACTCATCGATCGGATACCTAATCTTGCTGGGTTGGCCCGGACATGTGAGGTGTGTTACACATAGCCTCCATGTTTTTTTAACTGCTTCCATGTCGGCACCACGTTTTACTTTAACAAATGTTTTCAGCTCTGTTTAGCATGTCTCTGATTTAAGTCTATTTTGTATGACAATCTTTCTGCAGGTATTTAGATCAGCAGGACTAGCTATTGCGAACAAAAATATATTAACTGACAAGCAGTTTCAACTTATCAGGTAACTCGAGCCGTATTTTCTTTCTTTCTTGTGTTTGTGTGTTGTTGATGGTGCAAACTGAATTTTGCTATATCTGTTCATGACTGGATGCTTCTTTGGCCTTCCCATATTCTGTTTTTGCAAAAATATAGTTTTGGCACATAGCGTTGCCTGCTTATATAATCTTGTGGGTTAGCGTAGTATTGTTCTGTTGCACAGTGCAAACAAAATTGTATGACATTCATAAACTAAAATCAACAGTGCAATTGATTGATTAAGTCAGTTCAATTCGAAATATTATTGAAGAAGTAGAAAAGTATCCTTGTATAGTTGTTTATGTTACCAACAAGAATCTACATTGTGCTTTTTTGACATTGGAAGATATTTGTTACTAAACTAGCATTTTGTTTTATCAGTGTAACAGCGGAAAAATGGGTTCCTGTTTTGGAAGTCCCGGTGGAGAGTATGAAAGTATTCTTGGAGAAAAAGAAACACGAGGGTTTTGCTATCTTAGGTCTGGAGCAAACTGCAAATAGCATACCACTGGACCGGTACAATTTTCCTACAAAAACAGTAAGTAATTGTCCCACAGGCTTTTGTCTCTCAGTTAATAATATGGAATTGAATATTTGATTTTTGTTGCATGAATTTATTCGTCTTCATATTGGACAGGTATTAGTTGTTGGTCGTGAGAAGGAAGGAATACCAGTAGAGATAATTCATATGTTGGACGCTTGCATTGAAATTCCGCAGTTAGGAGTCGTTAGGTCTCTTAATGTTCATGTCAGTGGTGCTATTGCACTTTGGGAGTACACTCGACAACAGAGGATGCTCTAACTCCAACATCGCCACTATACTTTGCAAATGCCAGAATTCTTTTGAATTACAGTCTTTTCTTTTTGTTCAAATTTTGTATTGATCATTTTAGTAAATGATTATCTCATCATAACAGTTGTTTCTTATTTTCTTATTTTTTTTTTATTTTTTTTTAATATTACCTTTGAACTTTTATTTCAATGGAAGGGAGAATAACAGAGAACCTAATTTCATTTTCAAAAAGTATATTTTCTGATTGAGTTTTTTTTTTAATATAAAATATTTTCATGTATTACCCTTAATGTTTATATTGCTCAAAATACTCGACATTTTTATTTGACCGAAAACAACTCAGCTCCAGGATTCAAGAATTGTCATTCTTGATATCAATTGACCAAGTCGGACAACATTGATCGACCACATTACAGTTATTTTATAAATTAATACAGTTGGGACCATCAAAATTTCAGTAATTTAGCCAAATATTAACTTATCGATAAATTAATAATTATTAATTTATACATTAATTAATAAATTATTAATTTTTGAAAATATTTTATTATTATTTTCAATAAATACATTTTTTTTATTTTTTTTTATGTGTATATTATTCATTGTACCATTAGTTCATTGCATTATAGAGCCCGTTGCACGAACAGAAGCTCTTACAACAGCAATGGTATAAAACAATTTTATATTGAGTTATGAGAAAACTAAACTGAAAGTTCTAACCATGTTAAGAAAAGTGAGGGACGAGATTGATGGTAACGTAAACTTCAACAAAAAACAAGCAACAATTAAATTATATTGTATTAAACTTTCATAAATCTATAAAATATGTACTATACCATGTAATTTAAGAATTATTTTCATGCATTATTAATTTATATATTATATGGGGCTTCTTAAATTTTTCGAATGTGTATTATCTTATAAATTTAGCGAATTATTAATTTAGCACGTTGTCCCCGAGTCGGGACCGAAATAATTTATTATTTAAGCGAGATTATTAATTTATCGAGATTCTACTGTATGTGACTAATTTTCTGAGCTCGACTCAAATGCTCTTGTATATATTAAGGCATGTATTCAACTGCATGAATTGGTGTGGATTGCTCTCTTCGAGTCTTTCGTGGACAAAGTAAAAAAATTAGGGCAAATTGCAAAGAAGCACATGATAGTAAATTAAAAAAAAAGACATATTACTTTTTCTTCTATGCAAACATATCTACCCATGCAAAATTTATTTTCTAGGAAAACTTTCTGATATATCGTAAAATTACCCCTAGCCCTGTGAAACCCTAATTTACGCCAATCTCAGGATTTACTCTAATTTAGTCTCAATTTCACCAATTCACTAATTTTGACTCTGATTTTGGCTGCAGCTGCCGTTGATCTTTTATTCTTTTGATTTCTTTTCCCGCAACCGCTGGTCTCTGGCGTTTTTTTTTTTTTTGGAGTTGTTTTTTCCCTAATTTTTTCCACCACCGTTGGTATCTGGCGTTGACGTTTATTTATTATTTGGTTTTTTTCCCCTAAAATGTTTTTTTCCCGACACCGCTGGTATCCGACGTTGACGTTTATTTTAATTTGATTTTTTCCCCTAAAATGTTTTTTTCCGCCACCGTCGTTGACCTTTTTAATTTTATCTGAAAAAACATTACCCCCACATGGTAGCGATCGAACTAAAGATTTTGATTCCAGTGGGGACAACTATGATCATGGTTGCTGCGGTGAAGTAGGCACGGGTATCAACGTCTAAGCCCACAGTAAACATATGATGAGCCCAAGCAAGAAATCCAAGGACGCCTATACTGATCATGGCATAAACCATGCCTAGATACCCGAAAATCGGTTTTCCCGAAAAAGTAGAAACGATATGACTTATGATACCGGATCCAGGCAGAATGAGAATATACACCTCTGGATGACCGAAGAACCGAAAGAGATGCTGGTATAATATGGGGTCTCCCCTCCAGCAGGATCAAAAAAGGTTGTATTAAAGTTTCGATCAGTTAATAATAACATGGTAACTGCCCCTGCCAGTACCGGAAGTGATAATAAAAGTGGGAATGCTGTCACTAGAACGGACCAAACAAATCAGCCTTTATTCAACGGGGTAGTAGAGGATGCATCCAATTTGACATTAGAAGGGGCTTTGGCACGTCGAGGAAGAGAAGAAGCTCTTTGCGGGGTTTGGCTATCTTTTCCCCCTATGCGCCTAGAAAGGCTATCTTTAAAAGAGCTTGCTTTCAGGTATCTTTGATCGAGTTTGCCCGTGTCGTCATAGGTTTGAAGCTGTTTTCTTCGTATAGTCAATTATGATATCAACTGGGGTTGGGTAAAATCCTGCGTAATCCTGAATAGCTCTCCTATGTACACATCCCCAGAGAGTAGCAACGAGACTTTCCTCTTCTATCTCGGTGATTCTGGGGGAGAATGGGACCCGAATGAACCTTCCTCTGAGCGGCCCGTGATACCTTGTTGAACTCGGTAGCTTGTTTGCTATCATAATGATTGGAACGTTTTTCGTCTTAGTGAAGACTTTCCCATACTTGGTATCAAGCCGGCATTCTTGCCCATCCAGCACCTTGAGTATCGTGTTAGCATAACATGTTCCTTCCTCTCTCGCTCCCGTAAGGCGGCTGTCTTCATTCTGCTTGTCAAAGACCCATGTGTCATAGGCATCGTGTCCGCAGGTAAAGAGTACATGTGTTGCGCTACCAAGGAGGTAATAACCCCTAAAGAAGCTAGAGCAAGGCCTAATTGAAAATGAAGCGAATTATTGATTGTATCATAAAGACCCGTATGCCCACGTCCCAATCGCCCTCCCGGAGGAATATGTGCATCTAAAAGATCCTTGATACAGTGTCCAATCCCGAAATTTGTTCTATACATATGACCGGCAACAAGAAAAATAAATGCAATAGCTAAATGGTGATGAGCCATATCTGTCAGCCATAAACTTTGTGTTTGTCGATGGAATCCCCCAAGAAGGGTTAGGATGGTAGTTCCTGCTCCTTGGGAGGTCCCAAATAAATGACTAGTTGAATCAGGATTTTGAGCATAAAGATTCCACTGACCTGTAAAAAGTCCTAAGACTAAGAGATGCTAGTCACCAATGGAGCTAGCAGCTAGAACGAAGGCTGATAGGCTATAGACCGTTGCGACAGGAAAAGCTACCACAAAGACTGAAGACTTATACCGCAGGGCAGGAGTCGAATAAAGAAAGAGCTTTGAATAAAGCTAGCGCATACCAATGCTATAGGACTGCTTGAGCAAGAAGATCACCCCCCTTCCCTTACTCTTGTGAGTATATACCATGGTTATCGGATCGTAAATATATCTCGTATCGTTTTACTCCACATCTCGTACCGTATCGTTTATCGTATCGTATCGTAAGATATTTAACCAACTATTAAACTGGTAATATATATATATATATATATATATATATATATATATATATATATAAGAAAAATATTAGAAACATGTAAAATTTAATATTTTAAAGTCAAATACTCATTAAAAAAATAGATCCAAAATTCAAATTCAAGTTTCAACATCAAATTATAAAATATTGACAAAAATCATAATTGTTCATTAAATAACATCATCGAAGTTCAAATTCAAATCCCTAATTTATAAAATAATCCATCACTCGAAATCTTGAAGATCAATGTCACTTAAATCTTCCTCATCAACCAATTTCAAACAATTATCTGCATCTTCATCTTCATCTTCATCTTCATCAATCTCTTCAACTTCATCGACTCTAACTTTGGCCTTTCCCTTTCTTCTCTTATCAATCTCAAACTTGGCATTCAAATTTCTTGGACCTATATATATATATAAACATTAAATAATATTGAATGATATTATATTTTTAAACAAAAGAAATATACATAATATACCTCTTTTCCGTTTTGAGCTTGAAGCTTCTTCACTAAAGCTAAAATCTTCATGTACATCCATCCATGCACTATCTTCAGGTAAGCAAGGGTCTTCTTTTTCGGTGATCCACTCGTCATCAGATTCAATATCCGATAAGCATATTGGATCATAAGCTTCTCCCTTCTCTACTCGAATTTTTTGTCGCGCATCAAGTTGGAGATTGTACTTAACATAGACAAGTGCATTAAGTCTTTGTTGCTCCAAGCGGTTTCTTCTTTTTGTATGCACTTGTTCAAATGTACTCCAATTCCTCTCGCATCCGGTAGCACTACATGTGAGACTTAAAATTCTCATAGCAATCTTTTGCAATTCCTTTACTTCTCCACCATAACTTTCCCACCAAAGAGCTATTAAAATAAAAATTAATATAAAATATAATCACCACATTAAATATATTTAGTAAATATATAGTAATATTTAATTAAAAAGCTACATTTTTTAAAAGTAAAACCATAAGAAAAAAATACCAGGCTGTTTTTTGTCCCTTGTTTCCTTGGCCATTTTTAATCCAAATAGCCCATGCGCCCTTTTGAATTTCTCAAGTTGTGAATCAATCAAAATTCTTGTCCTAGTATCATCCGCAATCATCATCTCAATGGTTTTATGCAAACCATATATGACGTCACTATTTGGCTCGAACCCCTCAGCATAATGAAACCTAATAAAAATATAAAATAAATTAATAATAAACATTTTTTTATGAAATTCAAATTTAACAAAAAAAAATATAAAAAATTATTACTTAGGATTAAGATAATATGCCGCCGCATGAAGTGGTCTATGAAGTTGCCGGTTCCAACGGAGATCAATTATTTCCCATATCTTCTTATACCTCGACTCCACATTATTGAAGTTTTGAGCTATTTGATCTTTGGCTCTATCCATTGCTTCATAAATATATGGCATTGCTGGTTTTGAGTCACCATCTACAAGCCTCAATACTTTAACAATTGGACTCACACATCGCAAACAATATTTGATAGAACTCCAAAATTTGGCATTGCACGAAACAAGGTTCACTACTTCTTTACCATCATGCTTACGAGCATAAGAACTTGAAGTCCATACTTCCGAAACGAACATGGACTTAAGAGCACTTTTTTGATTCAAGATGCAGCTTAAAGTAAGAAAAGAAGTTGCAAACCTTGTTACGGCCGGTCTTGCCAATTCTCTTCCTTTAGAATAGTCTCTGAACAATCTTAGAACCCATTGATGCCTATATATGTAAGTGGTGATCCTTTTGGCGTTTGTAATGGTGGAATGGAAGATCGGAATTTTTCCAATATCTTCAAGCACCAAGTCGAGGCAATGGGCAGCACAAGGAGACCAACATAAACTCTTGTACTTCTCTTCCAACTTCTCCCCGGCAGACACAAGATTAGAAGCACCATCAGTTACAACTTGAACAACATTTTCAACCCCAATTTCTACAATCGTCTTATCCAATAACTCAAACATTTTTTGACCATCCTTGATCTCATTACTAGTGTCGATGGATTTCAAAAATACCGTCCCACTTGGACTATTGACTAGAAAATTAGTGATTGATCGAGATTTTCCGTCGGTCCAACCATCACACATCAATGTGCATCCCCATCTTTTCCATTCATCTGTATATTTCTCCATGGAGTTTTTGACATGTTCAACTTCATCCCTAAGGTAAGAAACTCTTACCTCATGATAAGAAGGAGGCTTCAAACCTTTACCATATTCCCCAACCGACTTCAACATTTGAGTAAATAAGGGGCTTCTCACCAAGTTGAAAGGTAGAGCATTACCATATATGCATCTACATATGTCACGAATCACTGACTCTCTATCTTTCAGTGCTACATTCATCGTTGCTTGTTTCAATGTAGGCCCTTTTTTAGAGAAAAATGGATGTAATCCTCCTCTTTCTTTGCCAACATCTTCGACTATTTCTTCATCCAAAACTTCAAGATTATTTGCCTCATTCTTCGTTTTTTTGCTACTTAACAGTTTAGCAAATATTTCCTTTACTTCATCTGGAACCTTCTCACAAATCGTACACTCATTACGTATTCCGGCAAGATGATGTTTCATTCTTGTAACGCCACCCCAATAATCTTTACCACAATAATTACATCGTAGATGTTTCGTTTCTGAAGGATCAACGACTGCACAATGGTTCCATGCAATATCCTTACTTCCTCTTTTTCTAGGAGCCATTGCAATCCAAAACACCCAAAAGCCAATACAACCACAAAATATATTTTTTTTTGTGAAAAAGTAAGTGCTGAAAATTGCACAAACCCCCCAAAGTATGCTGGAAAATGCAAGAACTACCCCAACAATGCTGAAAATTGTACAAGCAAACCCCAATTAATGCTGAAAGTTGCAGAAACACCCCAATTAATGCTGAAAGATGCAGAAACACCCCAACCAATGCTGAAAGTTGCAGAAACACCCCAGCCAATGCTGAAAATAGCACAACACCCCCCAACTAATCTGAAATTTCAACCAATCACCACAAATCAACGAGCCCACCTCAAATTGAACATACCCATGACAAAAAACGAACAAACCCAGACCTGAATACCTGATTGAACGAAATTTTGAAGAAATAAGGTTGTAGATCGCAAGCCCGTCCCAATTGTGCAAAACCCAGTCAAAATCGCCCTTGAATTGGTGTTGAATCTCAAACAAAACGCAAGAATGAATAGAAATTAAATATTAGAGTTGAGATATTATGATGATTGTTGAAGAAATTGAAGAGAAGAGTGAAAATTAGGTTTGGGAATTCTTGGAATATCGTTTTTTTTTTTGGCCGATTGAGTTTCCTTCTTTTTTTCTTCTTTTTTTTTTTTTATTTTTTTATTTGGGTGGATAAATATCGTATATATCGTATCGTATCGTGATACTGCGATACGATACGATATATCGCGATATTTTCCGATATTTATGAATAATCGATACGGAGCCCGAGTTGTATCGTTTTAATAGATACCGTACCGTATCGCGATATATATCGCGATATATCGCGATATTAACTACCATGGTATATACGTCTCCTATAAGTGCTTTCGCTAATATTGCTAGGAGCTAAGAACATAGTGCTAGGACCTCTTTATTGAAGACAAAGCTGATATATTCTAGTCCTATATGACTTTTGCTTATAGTGCTTATGCTAGTCTTACTAGAAGGTTAGGTTAGTATATAGCCTTACAAGCAAAGCAAGTGAAACACTCGCCAGAGCAGCAGTAAGCATAGAAGCAGTCTTGACTTGTAGCCTATACTTGTTGCTGGCATAAGTCACCACTCGGTTGTCTCACCTCTTCTGAACAAAAGAGCAACGGTCGATAGGGTTATCAAAGTACTCTGAGCTTTCTGTTCCGGCACACGCATAGAAGAAATGACAAATTCAGGGATTGGGCTTTTTCCCACACCGGAGAGCACAACCCAAGAAAGTGCAGTCGAAGTTCTAAGTTCTAATAGAACGGTAGCTCACTGAACGAAATCCATTTCATTTAGTAGGGAAGTTGTTTTCCAGCCCCAGCGTAGTAAGAATCAATAGATTCACCAAGGAAAGACAAGGGAAAAGCAATGCTTTTTCTTAGCGCCCGTTCTAACGAGTTAGCCAATCCACTTCTTTTCCTTACATTGGTAGGCCAAGGTGTAAACGAACATAGATAAGCTAACCAACATACTTTCTATGTTGAATAGAAGGCTGGTATTTTTCTTTTTTGTTGAACTAAACCACCCCTCCAACGCAAAGCAAGAGAGGCGGGTTACCTTGTCTTGGAGAAAGATCTCAGAACAGGTTACGGTAGGGGTCCTAGATAAAGAATGGGAGCTAGCAGAAGAGAGAGGCACAACAGTTGGTATTGGCTTATTCCCGCACCTGTACGATTGATTGCTTCAAGGCTTTGCGCCTTTCTAATGCTACGAAATTCTATTATGACTATTCTATGCTGGGGAGGTTGGATAACCGATGCCCTGGTGACAGGTGTAGCGCCCAGTTGAGGCTTGTTCGTTTGGACTGCCAAACTAGATGGTAGCGTGATCGAAGCCCAGATTGCGTGATTGGTCGAACGGGGTAACGTGATGTGGATAGGTCCATTCAACCATCCATGTTTTCCAGCCAATGTCCGCTTTGGTGATGGAGAGAATGCGTGGAGTGCATCACAAAAAGCGACCGTCTTGGGCATGACGGCCAATGGCATAAAGGTTAGCATAAACATAAAAACGAAAAAATACGTCAAAAACTGGTAAATTCGAGGAAATTTGTCTGGCAGAGCATTATTGACCACACGCCCTAGCATAGCCTTTCCCGCAGGAACATCCACAATAGATCTAGTGCGCTTAACAAGATATCCTTCTTTAATAGCAGTATCACTACCAAAGACAACAATCCCTACATTCTCATTCTCAAGATTTAAGGCTATTCCATTTCTCTATAATCGTTACGGGCTCCTGAATTCCGGGGGCAACGACGATCTTGCTAGAATGGTCACCATTATCGATTTACAATCGATAGTGGAACGCAGTGTCGAGGCCGCATTAGTGGATGATGGGTTTCACCCCAATGCTATTCTTGCTAGATAGTCACCCATTCGGGGGCTTCTACATACTCCACAAGGAAATATTTTGAGCCAACGGACCTATCAGTCCTATGCAAACCAAATAGACTCGCTTGGGACCCGTCAAAATTTTCCGGCTATTTAACAGGCATTGACTGCCGGTGTTGGACTGCAATATTACTGTCTCGAACAATAATATTGTTGTTAACACAATGATATTACGGTGGTGGACTACAATTTAGTGTCTCGAACAATAATATTACTTATTGGTCATTAAAAAATAAACTGGAAAAAAAAGTTTAAAAAAGCAATTAATAGTCTTGTGAACACAGTAACATTAAGTGAAACAAGTTAAGATTACAACGTTGACCGGTCAAAGACGGGAAAAAGTGGGTAGATTAATTAAGTCCTTCAGCAAAAAAGGAGGAGGAGGAGGAGGAGGAGGAGGAGAGTCTAAAAAGCTGAATTTTCAAATCTCGACGAAAACACCAGAAAAGAGTTTAAAGAATCTCTCCAGTGCAACTCTTAGAGACAAATTTTAGATCAAAAGGAGAGGACAGGCCAATTATAGCCATAGTTCCTACCTTGCATCAAATAGCCAAATAATTGTGATTCCAATAGCTCAATTATTCGATATTAGCGGATTAGAGACATTCGTTGAGTTTTTGGAGTCAAACATTATTATGCAAGTATAAATTTTCTCTATTTTTAGATTACAAATATTGGATACTTGAAGCGATAGCATGATTTTTGGTTTCTTGGCAATTGTAAACAATTAAGTGTCTTTGAATTTAAAACTTGTAAATTATCGAGAAGTGTCATGACAATTGCAAGTTTTGAAAACGTGAAGTTGGTCATTAATCTATGCGATGATATGCAATTATTGATTTCGTGCTTTGCAAGTAGCTAGATATTGCTTGAGGACAAACAATAATTCAAGTTTGGGGTGTGTTGAGTGTATATTTTACATTTAATTATCTTCATTTGTGAGCGCTTATGTAAGATTAGGGAGAATTACACTTTTGGTCCCTCATGTTTGGCCTGATTTCACTTTTGGTCCCCCTTGTTTCAAAGTGAACAAAGTTCACCTCCAAGTTTCAATTTTGTACACTTTTGGTCCCCGCCGTTACATGTCCGTTAGAAAATAACGGAAAACACTATTTTGGGGTGAAAATTGAAATTTTAAATTTTTTTGGGGCTGAAAATTAATTAGAAATTTAAAGTAAACTACTTATAATTAAATTTTTAATAATATTAAGAATAATGAAGTAAAATTATGTACAACGCACAATGATTTATTTAGTTAATTTTTTTTATTATTAAAAAAAATAATTATAAGTAGTATAATTATAATATTATTATGTATAATTATACATGACTTGTTTAGTTACTTTCTTTTTTATTATTAAAAAAATAATTATAAGTAGTACAATTATAATAATATTAATTATAATAAAAATAATTTGTTTAGTTAATTTATTTTTTTGTTATTAGTTTTTTTGTATCATAAGTAGTATAGTTAAAATAATATTAAGTATGATTAAAAAAAATTGTTTAGTTAATTTTTTTGGTATTAAAAAAATAATTATAAGTAGTATAATTATAATAATATTAAGTATATTAAAAAAATAATTTGTTTCGTTGATTTTGTTTTTTATTATTATTAAAAATTATAAGTAGTCTATTTTAAATTTATAATTATTTTCAGCACCAAAAGATTTTAAAATTTCAATTTTCACCCCAAAATAGTGTTTTCCGTTACTTGCTAAAGGATATGTAACGGCGGGGACCAAAAGTGTTTAAAATTGAAACTTGGAGGTGAACTTTGTTCACTTTGGAACAACGGGGACCAAAAGTGAAATCGGGCCAAACATGAGGGACCAAAAGTGTAATTATCCCTGTAAGATTTTATTGATTATTTGTTGTGTATAAGACTTGGTTTATTTATTCTAGGTGAGAAATTGAATAATTGGACGGTTGAAGGTTAAAACGGTAAAAAATGGAGCAAAAACGGGCGAGAACGGAGAAATCAAGTCAAAGTCCAAGTAGTAGATTGAGACGGTCATCCGAAAGAATGAACTACAAGTCCAGACGACTTTCCGAGATGACAACAGAATGTTACGAAAGTCGAGATGGTCGTCTCAACTATACCTTGAAGATTTGAACAGGCGTCCGAGATGACAAAGAAGAGAAGAATGTTACGCAGATTGAGACGGTTGTCCGAGATTTTACACTACAATTCGGACGGCTGTCCGAGTCCACCAACTGCAGAGTTTGGAAACTCTAAATTCACAAGGAAACTCTTTCTTTTCAACCAAGTCTCGACACTATAAAAACAACAATCTCAAGCACGAAATTGGTACCTTATTTTACACAATCGAGAGCAAGAAGCAAGAAGACGAAGAATTTGAAGACTTCAAGCATACAAGCATAGTTTTACTTTCTTTTCTTATGAATTATATTTCTATGTTTATTACAATTACGAGTAGCTAAACTTTTAGTTTCTAGGATTTTATTCGAACCCTATGAGAGATTTGTGAACCCAATTCTATGATATTGTGCAAGTATTAACTTTGGATTATTTCTTCTGCTTCTTCTATTAAGTTCATGGAATTGGTCACTTTATGTGCTTTGCTGTTT